CGTTCTCCAGGAACCTAGTTGGTGTCGGCTGCCTCCAGGACCTTGGCGTCACCACTACGTTCCCTGGTCACGAGCGGTATGCTGTCTGTACCGAGGCCGCCACTGGTGCCCCCCTGTCCACGTTCCCCCGGGACCCGGTGTCCGGCCTGTTCACTCTGGACACCGTGCCCCCCCCGGCTGGAGCGCCCCCTCAGGTGGCTGTGTCTACCCAGGTTGCTGCTGCCTGCTCCTGTCGCTCCCTCACTCACCCGACCCTCCTGTGGCACCACCGCCTAGGTCACCCTGCGCTCCCGCGTCTGCGTCACATGTCCCAGCACGGTCTTGTCCTTGGTCTCCCAGGTTCACTCCCCGCGTTTCCCTCCTCCCCAGCTCCACCTTGCACGCCTTGTGTCGAGGGTCGGCTTCGCCGTGCCCCTCACTCCTCCTCGTTCCCCCCTACCGCCGCGCCGCTGCAGACCCTGCACCTGGACGTCTGGGGCCCCGCCCCCGTCCCTGGGCCGCGTCGCGAGCGCTACTTCCTTGTGCTTGTCGACGACTTCACTCGTTACACCACCGTCTTTCCCCTGGAGCGCAAGGCCGACGTGCCTGGCGCCCTCATCCCCTGGCTTGTCTCTGCGCGTGTCCACCGCGGTCTCCCTGTCTTGCGTCTTCACTCAGACCGTGGTGGCGAGTTTGCCTCAGGTGTCCTTGGTCGCTTTTGTCGTGCGGAGGGCATCACCCAGACGTTCACCCTACCGGACTCCCCACAGCAGAATGGGGTCGCTGAGCGATGCATCAGCTTGGTCATGGAGGTCGCTCACACCTCCATGGTCCATGCCGGTGCACCCCATTTTCTGTGGCCGTTCGCTGTGCGCTACGCTTCTCACCAGCTTAACCTGTGGCCGCACCCTCAGCAGCCGCAGGTTTCGCTGACCCGTCTGTGGACTGGGTCTCCTGGTGACGCGTCTGCGTTCCACGTCTGGGGCTGCCTTGCTCACGTCCGTGCCTCCGGCACGGACAAGCTCACTGCCCGCACCCTTCCCTGCGTCTTCCTCGGTTTTCCCCTTGACGCGTCCGACTGGCACTTTTACCACCCGCCGTCTCACCGCTTCTTTCACTCTCGTGACGTCACCTTTGACGAGTCCGTCTCCTACTACCGCCGCTTCCCCCACCGTGGTCCCCCGGTTACCCCCCCCCTGTCCCTGGTCACCCCTTCCCCGGTAGTCCCTGCCCCTCCGTCTATCGGGGGTGCTCCTGCCCTTGGCAGTGACGTCCTGGAGGACCGCCAGTTCGAGCTTGCTTTCCTCTCCGAGGCTGCTCCCCATCTCTGTTCCATGCTGCTAGTCCCTGAGGGTGACCCAGACGCTTTCGACATCCCGACCCCTCGCACTTACGCTGAGGCGACTTCGGGACCCTGGGCCTCGCAGTGGATAGCTGCCATGGAGCAGGAGATGGCATCTTGGAGATCCACCGGCACCTTCGTCGACGCAGTTCCCCCACCTGGGGTGAACGTAGTCGATGGCCGCTGGCTCTTCAAGGTGAAGCGCCCTCCTGGAGAGCCGCCTGTCTTCAAGGCGCGCTATGTGGCTAGAGGCTTCAGTCAGCGCGAGGGGGTGGACTTCTTCCAGACTTTCGCTCCGACCCCGAAGATGACTACTCTTCGGGTTCTGTTACACCTAGCTGCTCAGCGTGACTACGAGCTTCACTCCCTCGACTTCTCCACTGCCTTCCTTCAGGGCAGCCTACACGAGCAGGTCTACCTGCGCCGCCCTCCGGGCTTTACTGGCACCTTCCCTCCTGGGACCCAATGGCTCCTGCGGCGCCCCGTCTACGGCCTGCGCCAGGCTCCCCGTGAGTGGCACGACACTCTGCGTGCTACGCTTGCTGACCTGCAGTTCTTTCCGTCTTCTGCAGACCCTTCACTCTTCATTCGTGCTGGCCAGACTCCGTTCTACATCCTCGTTTACGTCGACGACCTGGTCTTTGCCACAGCAGACAGGGACGCGCTGGCCTCCGTGAAGGCAGAGCTGCTGAAGAGACACACCTGCACTGACCTTGGAGAACTGCGCCGTTACCTTGGCTTGCAGATCTCCAGGGACAGAGCTGCGCGCACCATCACCCTGACTCAGTCACACTTGGTGCGCCAGGTCCTTCAGAGGTTCAGCCTTCAGTTCTCCTCTGCACAGCCCACCCCCCTGCCTGTAGACCACAGGCTCTCCGCTCCAGTGCCTGAGGAGTTGGTAGAGCCCAGCGGCCCCTACGCAGAGCTGGTGGGTTGCCTCATGTACCTGATGACTTGCACTCGCCCAGATCTCGCATACCCTCTCAGCATCCTGGCTCGCTTTGTGGCCACAGGCAGACACCGACCGCAGCACTGGTCTGCCGCTAAGAGGGTTCTGCGTTATCTTGCTAGTACATCGGGCATGGGGTTAGTGCTAGGAGGACGCAGGCCAGCGGTCCTTACTGGGCACACAGACGCTTCGTGGGCAGACGACGCTGAGACACTCCGGTCTACCCAGGGCTACTGCTTCAGCCTTGGCTCAGGTGCCGTCTCGTGGAGAGCTACTCGCTCCTCGTCTGTTGCACAGTCCAGCTGTGAGGCTGAGATCTACGCCGGTGCCATGGCGGCACAGGAGCTCCGCTGGCTGACCTTCTTGCTCACTGACTTAGGTGAGCGACCTAGCTCTGCCCCGGTCCTGTTCGCTGACAACAGGGCCATGATCCTCCTGTGTCAGGAGCCTCGACTCGAGGGCAGAGCGAAGCACATTCAGCTGCGGTACTTCCTCCTGCGTGAGCTACAGCAGCGACGTCAGGCTCGCGTAGTACACTTGGCCTCAGGTGCCAACACGGTTGATATCTTTACGAAGGCGCTTGCGCCTAAAGATCATCAGCGGCACTGTGTACAGCTTGGTCTAGTTCCTGTAGCCTCTCACTTGCTAGGACCTTGACTTTGTACTGTCCTTTATATGTATACTCAGACTGGACTTGTGTCCTCTCCCAGTGGCTGGACTAGTAGTGCCGCCCTGCTCTTGTGCTTGCCTTGTCTGTACTCCTTCTGACCGGTCGCTCAGACCCTTGTCTCAGAGGTTGGACTAGTAGTGCCGCCCTGAGCTGCTTGTTTAGGGTATTCCCCTATGCAGTCTAGGGGGTGTGTCAAACATGTGTATTTGTCATGTTTGTATAGACTGTATAGAGTCACCTCTTAGAGGATACAAAACTTAGATATATTTGTGTGTACTCTCACTTTACCATTATTCAATTATTCTGATAACTGCCTCTTCATCTCAACCGTCGTTCGCCTCCACGGAATCACGTCTGCCATCATTTCGGATCGTTACACGAAATTCACCAGTAACTTTTGGCGCAACCTCTGGAAATAGTTTGGCACGCGTCTGCAATTCTCCTCTGCCTACCACCGCGAGACTGACCGACAGACCGAACGGGCCAATCAGACAATGTAGCAACTGATTTGCGCTACATGTGATGTTGTGGCCGACTAGGAGCAGCAACTGCCACTGATCGAGTTCGCGTATAACAATGCCCCGTCAGCCATCTCACGACAATTACCATTCTACCTGAACTACGGGCAGAACCCTACAGTTACGATCACACCCAACATCGAAAATCCACTACCACGAGCCTAGCAGTTCGCCGAAATATTACAGAATGCTCGTGAGCGAGCAGCCGAAGTCATTAAGCGCGCGGATGTTACTTCTAAGTGAAATGCAGACCTATACCGACGAATAGCAACTTACCAGGTTGGAGACTTCCCATCGTCCCAAAACTCCGCCCCCGCTAGTGTGGACCATTCACCATCGCTCATCTCCCTTTTCATATGAAAGACTGCATATACATGCTGCTGGCACAACCCATCTACTGTTACCGGCCACCTGGAACGTCAGCCCATCATTCCACGTGCGATTACTTCGACCATACATCGCCCAGACCAGTAAATTACCACGTCACTGAGCGAACCTGAACATCCGACCGCTGGCCGAGCCTAGTGTCGAACCTGCGAAGGTTCTCAACCATCGGATCAAGAACCCTCGAGGGGCTCGCTTGATCGAGTTTTTGATATCCTGGAAGGACCGGACCTGGAAAACAGTTGGGTGCCCTTGGCACAGATCGAGAATTACCCAGTGTTACGAGTCTACCTCCAGTCACGCAATGTGCGCGACGTTGGCGATCTTAACTAAGACCATACCTTGGAGGGGGGAGGGTGTAAGGAAATGATATTTCATTATCATGGGTTTTAGTCAGTAAGGCGTACACTGCTACCGCATAACGAGGTTGCCGCGCAGCTCTGCCACAAAATTCAAATCGTAGTCCCAAATGTGGTCTCATGATGAGCCGCATGCATGATTGCCCGCCTTGCTGTTGCATGCCTAGATCTGAGCGCTCCGCACCATTTTACTAACCACACGTCGCAGCTCTGCCGAGCCACGACCGTGTGCTCCTAGGCTAGCTATATCCATGCTCCCTGCTGTTATGATGTTGCCTTAGTTGTATTGTTTCCTCGTTAATCAATCCTTCTACACACGCTCCTTGCGCTTCATTTCAATGCCCCTTCACTTAGAATTTTTCCCATTATCGAGTCATGTTGGCCGCTCGGAAATCCCTGTAACTTCCGCGCGTGCGGTGAGAGCACCCTACTGGCCTTCACACGTTCCTCAATGTTGGCGCCACAACTGCTCCAAGCTTCGCGCGCGAAGTTCCCAGAGCTGCTTTGTCTGTATGGCAAAGTTTCGCAAACCAATTAACCGATTCGCGAGAGGCTGGTTACTACCAGATTTTGATTTGCCGAGCCTCATCATGAGGCTCTGCTTGTTGTGAAGCTGATCAGACTAAAGGTGACAGGTTCGAGCCTAGCTTACCGAGCCATGACTTCTAGCTCGGGGCCAACATATTTCGCCAACATAATCAGGGTGACAGAATCAGCCTTGGTTTGGTTCGGTCAGTGAGGCTTAGATGCACCCCTAGAAGTTGTCTTAGCCAACCAGCCTATCTGGCAGGATTAAAATGCCTTCTGAGTTGCGTTCTGGAGTATTCCCACTTACCTGTCAGACGAGCCTGACACACTTTCAGTAGTTATGCCTTAGACCCTGGCGACTTCCACAACACTTATACAGTACGTATAGTGGAAGACAGTAGATGTTCGTACTTGTCAAAATAGGTTGCTGATAGTTGCGGGGATTTGTGAGTGATCCAGTCAGGAAGTTTAGTGGTTTCCTAGCTCGTTTCAACGCCCACCGCACATTCAGTCAGTCTGAGCTTAGTCAGCTTCTCCTCTCGATGCTCTTGGTTATGCTACTGTTGTAACGGCTAGTCCGATCTTGATCTCAGGACCTTTCGAGGAAGCTCGTCCTACCCTGTCTGCAGCGACAGCTCAGGATCCCAGGTTGCGCCAGTAGCCAGAAAACTCAACACGAGCCAGGAATAACGCAGCAGCAGAGAGTCTCAGGCTTTCCGCCGACCGTAGCGTAGTGCTGACCCTACTGCTGTACGGGACGTGTGCTGGAAGTGTGCTGGACGTGTGCTGTACGTGAGCTGGACGTGTGCTGGACGTGTGCTGGACGCGTGCTGTACGTGTGCTGAACGTGATGACTCTCTTTTGCATCAGTAAGAGGCAGCTACAATTCTCCCTCTGAACCAGCCGCTGGAGAGTCAAGCTGATCGTCTTATAGCTCAAGTCGTTCGGTCGTTCATGAAGGCGAAGGCCGTAGTGGTGTCCGGCGCCACAGCCGGCGCAGCTGAAGGCTTCCGTTTGAAGCAGCAGATGCCAAGCTAAGCCACTAACCGGATAGGTAGAGCCTAGTAGCCATCGCATCAGGAGGGCCATGGTGGTGGCTAGTACCGTTAGACAGCGCAGATAATGGCTCTCAGCCTGTAGACGACGCCGAATCACCAACAGCCTATTGGTCGTGTCACCATGAAGGCCATAGTGGTGGCCGGCACACATAGCGGCGTGGGCAAGACGAGCGTCTTCTGAGTCGACTCAGTAGTAATTTCGGCGGTACCAGAAGCTACAGAGCTAAGCCTCGCAGTCTTGACACCATGAAGGCCATAGTGGTGGCCGGCACACATAGCGGCGTGGGCAAGACGAGCGTCGCCGTGGGGCTCATGGCTGCGCTCCGCCGCCGCGGTCTGCGCGTGCAGCCGTTTAAAGTCGGCCCAGGTGCGACCCACTGTTTATCTAGTGCCAGGCCTGGTGCCAGTAGCAAGCTAGTTTTTTGTTCGAGTCCACTGGAAAACAGGCTCATGGCGGGCGAGGCCTGCGCGTGCGGCCGTTTAAAGTCGGCCCAGGTGCGATTGGCTGTTGATCCACTAGTCTCTCTTTGTCGTCGTCTTCTTCTTCTGTAGTTCCTGGATGCGTGGTGCTGCACTTGTGATCCGGTCATTTACGTGTGGCTATGAGGCGGAAGTACCAGAAGCCGTACTTAGTCCGTGTGGGCTGAAGGTTTGAGTCGATTCTGGCATGTTTGAGTCAATGTTGAGATCCTGATCCCTGTATCACCGCTTTGGTATCCAACCTGAAGCGGAGTGTTATTAACCCTCTAGAGCGTCATCCCACCCACCTGTTGTATGTGGCATGTTGTATGTGGCATGCTGTATGTGGCATGCTGTATGTGGCATGTTGTATGTGGCATGCTGTATGTGGCATGTTGTATGTGGCATGTTGTATGTGGCATGTTGTATGTGGCATGTTGGATGTGGCATGCTGTATGTGGCATGTTGTATGTGGCATGCTGTATGTGGCATGTTGTATGTGGCATGTTGTATGTGGCATGTTGTATGTGGCATGCTGTATGTGGCATGTTGTATGTGGCATGCTGTATGTGGCATGTTGTATGTGGCATGTTGTATGTGGCATGTTGTATGTGGCATGTTGGATGTGGCATGCTGTATGTGGCATGTTGTATGTGGCATGCTGTATGTGGCATGTTGTATGTGGCATGTTGTGTGTGGCATGTTGTATGTGGCATGTTGTGTGTGGCATGTTGTATGTGGCATATTGTATGTGGCATGTTGTATGTGGTATGTGGTATGTTTTATGTGGCATGCGTATGGCAGATTTCCTGGACCCCATGCACCATCAGGTGGCTACAGGGCGGGACTCGTACAACCTGGATGGATGGATGCTCAACAGGTGAGACGTTGCTTTGTGGATTGTTCGGATGGGTGGGTGGGTGGGTGGATGCTTGAGTAAGTGGGTGGATGAGTGGGTGGGTGAGTGAGTGGGTGGGTGGATGCTTGAGTGGGTGGGTGGATGCTTGAGTGGGTGAGTGGGTGAGTGGATGCTTGAGTGGGTGAGTGGATGCTTGAGTGGGTGAGTGGATGCTTGAGTGGGTGGGTGTGTGAGCGGGTGAGTGGGGGGATGAGTGGATGGTTGAGTGGGTGGGTGAGTGGGGGGGTGAGTGGATGGGTGGGTGGATGGGCAGGCGAGACTTGTACAACCTGGATGGATGGATGGATTACGTTTTCTCCTTTTCCCGTCTCTCTCTCTCTCTCTCCCCCCCTCCCCCCCTTCCATCTCCCACGACCAGGGAGTCCAACGTGGCATACCTCTCTCGCTTTGCAGCCACAACAGACGTGGCAGTGATAGACGGCGTCATGGGGCTATTCGACGGCCGGAAAGACAAGCACTCCCCTTTCCCGAAGGCGCTCCTCTTCGCCTTCCTGTCGCTCTCCTCACCTTCCCCTGTCCGCTCCTTGCCCCCCCCTCACCTCCCCTCACCAGGGAGTCCAACGTGGCATGCTTCACTCGCTTCGCAGCCACAACAGACGTGGCAGTGATAGAAGGGGTCATGGGGCTGTTCGACGGCCGGGACGGCAAGACAGAGGTCGGCAGCACAGCAGAAATGGCCAAGATCCTCGGAGTCCCTGTGGTGCTAGTCCTAGACTGCTGGTCTATGTCCCGCAGTGCAGCCGCCATGGTTCACGGCTACGCCTCCTTCGACCCGTCGCTGAGATTCGCGGGTATCGTGCTGAATAAGGTCGCTAGCGCCGCGCACGCGGCTTGGCTTACGGAGGCTTTGGAGTCAGCCCATGTGAGGGTGCCGGTCCTAGGTGGCATCCCGAAATCTGCTGACGTGGAGATGCCTGAGCGCCACCTGGGATTGCACCGGCCGGGGGTGGAGGCGGACGGGGTGCCAGCTCAGCACGCGGAGCGGCTGGCGGCGCTGATTGAAGCACACCTGGACCTTGACAGGCTGCTACAGCTGGCAGCTGACGTGGCAGGGCCGCCTACGATGGGGCTAGGGGGGGGAGAGGAGAGTCTGTGTGGAGGGGAGGATGCTGGGGAAGGGAGTGTGGTGGGCGGAGGGGGGAGTGTGGTGAGTGGGATGGGAGGAGGAGGGGGAGGAGGAGGGGGAGAGTGTGGTGGATCGTCGGCCAATGAGCTTCCACCGCTGTCAATGCCGCCTGGAATGAAGCTGGCACGCATTGGAGTGGCTAGAGACGATGCTTTCTGCTTCTACTACCACGACAACCTGTCGCTGCTGCGAGGTGAGCTCACTGGCCCCTCCTCGGCTGTCGCTGCCTTCTGCTTCTACTACCACGACAACCTGTCGCTGCTGCGAGGAGGGGCGTTGAATGTTTTATGCCCTGTCGTCTGCCCCTACCTCTATGGACGATGCTTTCTGCGTCTTCTACCACGAAAACCCGTTGCTTGCTGCTGAGGGGTGCGCTCTCACTTGCACCACCACTGCCGAGAGGTGTTCTTCTTATTTAGAGGCGCTGATTCTTTCTTAAAGGGGAGGTAGGCTGCTGCCTGTCAATCCTGCCTGGAATGAAGCTGGTTCGATCGGTGATCTCTTCATTGCACCCTGCCTCAGTTCCAGATGCCTGAAACTTCCCCCCCTCCCCTCCCCCCCCCGCCACTCCCTCCTTTCTCCTTTCTCCTTTTCTCTCTTCCCCTGTGATCTGCATCTTGATCCCATCAGAGGCGGGAGCAGAGATTGTTTTCTTCTCCCCGTTGACCGACCCCCTGCCGCACCGCCTGGACGCGGTCTATTTTGGAGGCGGGTACCCGGAGCTGCATGCGGCTGCTCTGGCTGCGAACGCGAAGCTGGTGTATGCGCTGAGGGCGTTTGCTGCTGCTGGCGGGGTGGTCTACGGCGAGTGTGGAGGGCTCATGTACCTGTCTCGGAGTATAGAGGTAGGGGGATGCATGTGTGCGTGGCGAAGGGTGGGGGAGGGAGAGGGAGAAGAAACGCGAAGCTGGTGTATGCGCTGCGGGCGTTTGCTGCTGCTGGTGGGGTGGTCTATGGCGAGTGTGGAGGGCTCATGTACCTGTCTCGGAGTATAGAGGTAGGGAGGTGAATGTGTGTGTGTGGCAAAGGGGGGGGGGGAAGGGAGAAGGAACGCGAAGCTGGTGGGGTGGTCTACGGCGAATGCCTAGGGCTCGTGTACCTGTCTCGGAGAGTAGAGTTATGTGTGCGTGTGGCAGAGAGGAAGGGGGGGGGGGGGGAGAGAGGGGAGGGAAAGTACATGAAGCTGGTGTGTGCGCTGAGGGCGTTTGCTGCTGCTGGTGGGGTGGTCTACGGCGAATGCGGAGAGCTCATGTACCTTTCTCGGAGCATAGAGGTGAGCGAGGGAAGGCAGATTGGGTAGTGGAGAGAACAGCTCATGCACCTGTCAATTCTTGCCTTACCGACGAGCTGTTTCGTCTGTCATGACAGGCTCATCCAGTTCCACACACACACTGTTACTCACCTGCTCTTTCTTCCTCTCTCCCTCCTCTCCCCCCTTCCTCCCCCCCCGCCCCCGCCCCCCCCCCCGCCCTGCCTGCAGACGAAGGAGGGCGAGGTGCACGAGATGTGTGGGCTGCTGCCCTTCCGCACGCGCATGGTGTCTACACTCAAGCTCGCTTACTGCACTGTGAGCATGGCTTGCTGTCAGACATGATTGTTGAAAGGTGTACTTCAGCTTTTGTGTCGACTCAAAAGCACCCTCCGCACGCACATCGTGCCCACACTCAAGCTCGCCTACTGCACCGTGAGTCCTTGTCCTCTGTGAGGCTGGCGTGTGGCACTCTTGAGGTCACTTGACTCACAACTAGCTTCCACACCCGCATTGTGTCCAAACTCAAGCTCACCTGCTGGACCGTGCACCTGGCTTGCTGCCAGTCATGATTTTTGAATTGTGTTAACTCCGTAAATTGGTGCTCAGTACTGGTCTTCCCCCCTCGTCCTGTTACTCCCCTAACGTCAATCCCATCCCCGTCCTCTCCTTCCCCCTCCCCCCTCCCCCCCCCCTGCCCCTCCCCATTTTCTCAGGTGTGTCCGCTGCCCAACTGTGTGCTATTCCCAGCGGAGGTAGGCGAGATGCGGGAGCAGTTCTTCCACTTCAGCGAGGTGGTGCTTGATGACGGGTGTCGACTCACTTCCCTCCTCCCTTCCCCCTCTGTGTGCCCTTGCCCCCTCACCCCCCCTGCTCCCCCATTCCCTCAGGTGCGTCCCCAGCCCAACTGCATCTTATCCCCAGCAGAGGTGGGCGAGATGAGGGGGCAGTTCTTCCACTTCAGCGAGGTGCTGCTTGATGACGGCTCGTCTCCCTCCCCCCCACCCCCCTCCCCCCTGTGCCCTTGCGCCCTGCCCTCTGCCCTGTGCTCCCCTCAGGTGCGCCCCCAGCCCAACTGTGTGCTATTCCCAGCAGAGGTGGGCGAGATGAGGGGGCAGTTCTTCCACTTCAGCGAGGTGCTGCTTGATGACGGCTCGTTCCACGGCGACCAGCTGGAGTTCGGGTGAGTAGGGGGGGCTTTAGCTGGTGTCGTATGGGCATGGTACCCAATGGCATGGGATGGAATGGTTGTTGAAAACAGCTCATTGCTGCGCGTCCGTGTGATAAGAGATGTGTTTTGAGACGTCTCACAACACGTCTCTGAACACATGTATGGGCATGGTATCACATGGCATGGCATGGTATCACGTGACATGGGATGGAATCACATGGCATGGCATGGAATATCACATGGTATGGCATGGAATATCACATGGCATGGCATGGAATATCGCATGGCATGGGATGGATGGAATATCACATGGCATGGGATGGAATCACATGGCATGGGATGGAATATTGCATGGCATGGGATGGAATATCACATGGCATGGGATGGAATATCGCATGGCATGGGATGGAATATCACATGGCATGGGATGGAATATCGCATGGCATGGGATGGAATATCACATGGCATGGGATGGAATATGACATGGCATGGAATGGCATGGTAGTTGACAGCGCATGGCAGCGCGTCTGTCTTCTCCCATACATCCCTTACCTCACGCCCTCCCGCTTCATTCCGCTTCTCCAGGTACCTGATCGAGCAGCAGACCCCTGGGAGCACCTCTTGCCCCGAGGGCTACATGGCGGGGGCAGTGCTGGCGTCCTACGTGCATCTGCACTTCGGCTCCAACGCCTCCATCGCCCACGCCTTCATCGACGCATGCAGAACCGACCCCACGAAAGCAGCAGCTGTCGCAGCCGCGTCAGCCTCAGCAGTGGCCGGCGCGGGTGCGGCAGCGGCCGCTGCAGCAGGAGCGGCGGCAGCGGCAGCGGTGGCTGAGGCTCTAAACGATGACGATAGGCTGTCGCAGCGATCCGCGTGCTCGTATGTCCACCCGTCCCCGGTGCACCCCCTTCAGATGGCCCTGCAGCATCCCCCTCCGGGCTCGGCTGTGTCGTCCGTTCCCTTGGCTAGCTCGTATAGGAGGAGGAGTGAGAGTGTTGGGAGGTGGGATGCGAGGGGGTTTGACGCTGCTGGGGGGGTCTCGCCGCCCCATTATGTGGAGACGTATGGGAGAGGGGGAGGGGGAGGATGGGCGGGAGGAGGAGGGGGAGGGGGAGGGCCGGGGAATGGAGGGATGGGAAGGCTTGGTGGGATGTATTCTGCTGGGGGGGGAGTCTCGCCGCCTCATTATGTGGAAACGTATGGAGGAGGAGGAGGAGGAGGAGGGGGAGGGAAGGGAGGGGTGTATGCAGGTGGTCATGGCAGGGTGGGAGGAGGAGGAGGGGGTGGGGGGGGATATGACCCCAGGGCCCAGTGGCACGAGGAGTTTATTCCCAGAGCCCTTTCTGGTACTGTTCCTGGTACTTCAGGTGTTTACTCAGGTGTTTACTCAGGTGTTTACTCAGGGCCCCTATCCGGCGTTTCACCTGAGCACGACGACCCCACCGAGGCTGACCTCGAGGCTCGGCGGATGAGCTCCCGGGACGCAGAGGACCGGTCCTCACGTTCGGAATCGTACGTCATTGGAGAACGCGTGGGCGGCAGAGTTGTCCCATACTCCATGTTCCCGGGCGGCAGCGCTATTGGCAGTATTATGTCAAACGGATATGCGGGGTATTCAAGCCATACAGGATACGGGTACGGGTCCGGGATGGGCGGCGGTAGTGGGGGAAGAGCAGGAGGAGGAGGAGGAGGTGGAGGAGGAGGCGGGAGAGGAGGAGTTGATTGGGCTCGATACGAGCTCTCGCCACCCCTGCCTTATCAATCCACAGCTTACGCCCGAGAAGGAAACAGCAGTCATGGGGGCGGGGGAGGGGCAGGAGGATTTATTCCCTCGCCCATGAGGAGGTCTATATCGGAGCTATGGACGCCTGGGGGGCTGGGTGGTGGCCTGGACGAGTTGAGTCTGGGGGGAGGGCATGGGACCCCTGGAAGAGGGGGGAGAGGAGGGGCAGGGGGAGCGAGAGGAGGAGTGAGTGGGGGGGAAGAAGGGACGGTGGTGGGTATGGGTCTAGGGGGAAGAATCTGGGAGGAGGAGCAGGGATGGGAACAGGGGGGGGAGGGGGAGGAGGGGGGGGGGAGGAGGGGAAGGATTGGGAGGAGGGAGGGGTGGGGGAGGGTCTAGTAACAGGGCTGGTTCAGCAGCGGGGAGGTCAGGAAGTGCCGGTGGAAGCTCCTCAGCAGATCCCTCCGCTGATCCCTCTGCTGATCCGTCTGCTGAGGCCTCTGTGACCGACGGGCAAAACTATGCCAATTCTGGTTCGGATTACGATGAGACGAACGCCAGCGACCTGCGGAGCTCGTCGGAGTTTGACGAGGGGCTCACGTCCAGCGGGCGGTTGTCAGACTTTGTGGGGAGCAACAGCGGGAGGAGTGTGGAGCAGGTTTATGAGTCGGTAGGGTTGAAACCACCGACCAGTGGAAAAATGGCGGACTTTGTTCGGAGCAATAGTGGGAGGAGTGTGGAGCAGATTCTGGTAGGGAGTAACAGTGGGAGGAGTGTAGAGCAAGGTTATGGGTCGGTAGGGGTGAAACCACCATCTGGTGGGTCAGGAAGTGGGTCCTGGAAGAATTTGTCCACGGGATCGACGAGGAAACTAGCCGCCGCTGCTGCTGCGGCTGCTGCTGTGGCTGCTGCTCAAGCAGAGGCTGCTAAAGCTGCAGAAGGGGCAGCTGGGAATGCCAAAAGTGGCAATGTTGCCAAAAGTGGAAGCGGGAGCGGTTCAGGACGTGTGAGGTGGACCAGGGAGAAGGGAGAGGAGAGAGGGGAGGGGGAGGAGGGGAGAGAGAGGAATGAGCTGGGCGGTTCGAAGTATTTTGAGGCGAGGGATACAGTCGAGGGGTTCAAAGACGCAGGGATGGAGGAGAGTGGGGGGATGCGTTGGGAGGAAGAGGAGGAGGAGGAAGAGGAGCAAGAGGAGGAGGATGAAGTGGGGAGGGGGGAGGAAGAGGAGCGAGAGGCACCTAGGACGATGCGTCTGGACCCTCGCTTGGTTGAGGAGGTGAGGGAGAGAGAGATGGAGAGGCAGAGGCAGGAGAAGGAGTTGGGGGAGGAGCAGACGAGGCAGGTAAAGCAAGATGAGCAGCAGGAGCAGGATTGGGAGAAGATCCACCAGGATCAGATGCAGCAGCGGCAGCAGCAGAAGCATCTGCAGAAGCAGCAGCAGCAGCAGCACGTTCAGCAGCAGCAACAGGTTAAGCAGCAGCAGCACGTTCGGAAGCTCTCAGATGGAAACGAAGCCTCTAGTGGCGGAGGTGGGAGGAGCAGCAAGGGTGGCAGCAACAACAAGAACACCAGCAGCAGCAGCAACGGTGATGGGTTTCGATCCCTGCCCACCCAGCTGTACCGCTCTCTACTCCGCGACACCCAGCTGCACCACTCTCATCTTCACGACTCCGAGGTCCAGCGTAGCTTGTCAGGAGCGTCTCCGTCCAAGCACACAGGATCTGGTGTGGCTGCTGCTGCTGCTGGTGCTGCTGGTGCTTCTGGTGCTGTTGCTGCTGCTGGTGCTGTTGCTGCTGCTAGTGCTGGTGGTACAGTCTTTGGTGGCAATGTAGTGGCCAGCAGAAGTGCCAGTGGGAGGCTGTATTACGAGGAAGAGGTGTCCACTCAATCGCGGGCAGTGGGGATAGGAGGAGCAGCAGGAGGAGGAGGAAGATCAGGAGGAGCAGGAGGAGCAGGAGGAGCAGGAGGAGCAGGAGGAGCAAGAATGGAAGGAGGCACGGGAGGAGGGATTAAGTCAGGTGACGGCACTCCAATGAAGATTGCTAGTGCTTCCCTCCTCACAGACTCACCGTATACAAGCACTCCTGATGCTGCTTCTGGCGGTGGCTTTGGGGGCGGGATGGGAGGGGGGGGTGGAGGTGGGGGGGTAGCATCATCAGGACATGGGCACATGTATCAGCAGCACCCTCACTCCTCTCAGTACCCTCCCCAACACCCGCATACCCACCACCCTCCGCAGCAGCATTCGCACTTGCAGCCCAACCTTCCCTTAAACACCCCCTTCCCTGGTCCCCCTCCTTCAGCAGCAGCAGCTGCTGCTGTGGGTCAAGGTCACACCACCTTCCCTGCTCCCCTTCCTACTCGCTCTGATCTACCTCAGTACTACCCTCCCTTTGAACCCCAAGCTACTCATACTGCTTCTGCCCAAACTCCCCAGCCTGCAGCCAAACCTGCTTCCGAAGCTGCCGCCGAAGCGGCAGCCGAAGCTGCAGCTCGGGCTGCCCAAGCCTTTCAAGCTGGCCGTTCGGATCCAGAGGCGGACCCCGATGCGTTTTTCGATTCCTGCCCGAATTTCGAATCCCCACGACTGAAATTCCACACCCCTCCCTCTGACTTGACCCCCCCCCCACTCCTTCACTCAGGCTCCCCCTCTCTCTCAGAACCCCACACTCTCCCCAACCCCTCCACACACTCTGGCTCCCGCACTCCCCCTCCACCCCACACTCACGCTGCCCTGCACACTTTCGCACACTCTCACAGCCTTTCCAACTTCCACACTCACTCTGACCCCCACACCTCCATCCCCCACGCCTACTCTCACCATTTCTCAGAATCTCAGATGCGCTTCTCCCCGTCCAAGGACTTCTCCTTTGGCACGCGGCGGCGGCTGGACCTGAGCCAAGGGGAGGGTGCGGGGGTATGGGGAGAAGGGTTTGGGATAGGGGAGAGCGGGGGGAGGATGGGGGGTGGGGGAATGCAGTGGGGTTCGCAGCAGGGAGAGCAGCAACGGGTGGACCTGGGTCAAGGGTGGGACGGGGGGGGATGGGGAGAAGGGTTTGGGGTAGGGGAGAGCGGGGGGAGGATGGGGGGTGGGGAAACGCAGGGGGGGGAGCAGCAGGGAGAGCAGCAGAGGCAGAGGCAGGGGGGAGGACAGGGGCAAGGGCAGGGGCAAGGGCAGGGGCAAGGGCAGGGACCGCTATTTCGGGCTGGGCAGAAGGGAGAGGAGGGGGGTACGGGAGATGGGGCATGGAAGCAGCAGCACCATCAGCAGGAGATGCAGCAGCTGGAGAAGAAGGAGCAGCAGCAGCGGCAGTGGCGGCAGGAGAAGGAGAAGGAGCAAGGAGACAAAGAAGGGAGCTTGACAGCTGCAGGCCAGGCCACCTTGGCTGTGGCTGACACTGTGGAGGGTTGGATGCGGTGGAGAGGGGTGCAGCCCGGTGCTGCTGTGAACGGAACCATTGCTGGTGTGACTGTAGCAGGGGCAGGGGAGGGACACATGGTAACACGGAAGAGCAGGAAGCCTCGGGTGGTGTCACTGGCGCCTTCAGCTACAGACATCATCCTGGCTCTCAGTAAGTGGGACCCTCAATAAGTGGGACACTCAATAAGTGGGACAACATGGGCCATTGCTGCTCTGAGATATCCATGGGTGTCGTGGCGGCACCCTCAGCTACAGGCATCATTCTGGCTCTCAGTAAGTGCCTGGTTTTCACGTTGAAGTGTGAGCTGTAGTGCCAGCTGGAATGACAGAAAGCAGGGAAGAGCAGGACGCCTCATGTCGTGTCACTGGCACCTTCAGCTACAGACATCATCCTGGCTCTCAGTAAGTGGGACACTTTATAAGTGGGATAACATGGGCCATTGCTGCTCTGAGATATGCATGTGTGTGGTTTCACTGGCGCCCTCAGCTACAGTCACATCCTGGTCCTCAGTAAGTACCTGATTTCTATATTCTCTATACTACGTTGTTCGTCTTGTCAATTCTTGCCAATTCTTGGGGTCGGTTGTTGCTTCCCACTTCCCTTGACCTTCATGGTATGATCTCTTGACACGCGCCCCACTTCTTCCTGCTTTTCAGGAGCGTCGGAGCAGCTGATTGGTGTGTCGGATCAGTGCCGCCCATCCAGCTCACTCCCACAACCATGCCATGTGGTATGCTGAGGCCAGACGTGTGCTGTGATGATGTCATGCCTCGTCATGTGTCGCCACATAATTCTGTAATGCGTTACCAGGTTGTAGCATGCTACTGGTGCTGTGTGAATCGTGATTGATGATGTCATGCATGCACATAGTATTGATGATGTCATACATGCACATAGTATTGATGATGTCATGCATGCACATAGTATTGATGATGTCATGCATGCACATAGTAATGTGTCCCGTGACCCGTCTCGTTCTGAGTCATCTCAAAAACATAATAATATTGTCTCGCATCTCCTTCTGTCGCTCCTGACTTTTGAGTCGACCCAAATGTCACGTAGTATTGTGTCCCGTCTCGTTTTGAGCCGTCTCAAAAACATAATATTGTGTGTCATCTCATCTCCTTCTATCGCCCCCCCCCATCCATCCCATCTCGGCGGTGCAATCAGGTGCTTCGCTGCCCTCATGTTAGCAAGCCTTCCAAGGTGAGTTCGTTCATCTAGCTGAGAATATTTAGTACTTACGCCTTGTGTGGCGCAATCAGGTGCTTCTGGCTGACTGCTTGGCTGCTCCTGGCTGAACCTGGCTGCGTCTGTGCCTGCTATATTGCTTAGAGTCGACCCAAAAGCATGCTTCGCTGCCCTCATGTCAGCAAGCCTTCCAAGGTGAGTCCCTCTAGCTGATAATCTTTAGCATTTACACCTTGTGTGGCGCAATAAGGTGCTTCCGACTGACTGCTTGGCTGCTCCACCACCTGGCTGCTTCTGACTGCCTTATTGCTTTGAGTCGACTCAAAAGCATGCTTCGCTGCCCTCTGTCAGCAAGCCTTCCAAGTTGAGTCCCTCTAGCTTGAGTGAGTCCCTCTAGCTGATAATATTTAATATTTACACCTTGTGTGGCGCAATCAGGTGCTTCTGACTGCTATATTGAACTGCTGGATCAGCCAAGCAGCACAACGTGTTGGTGATAGGGTGATAACCTGTCGTCTCCCACTCTCTCTCCTCAAACGTGCCCTCGGTCTCCAACCACCTCTCCTCCATCTCTCACCTACCCCCTTGTATCTCTCACCCTCCCCCTTGTATCTCTCACCCTCCCCTTGTATCTCTCACCCTCCCCCTTGTATCTCTCACCCTCCCCTTTGTATCTCTCACCCTCCCCCTTGTATCTCTCACCCTCCCCCTTGTATCTCTCACCCTCCCCCTTGTATCTCTCACCCTCCCCCTTGTATCTCTCACCCTCCCCTTTGTAGCTCTCACCCTCCCCCTTGTATCTCTCACCCTCCCCCTTGTATCTCTCACCCTCCCCCTTGTATCTCTCACCCTCCCCCTTGTATCTCTCACCCTCCCCCTTGTATCTCTCACCCTCCCCCTTGTATCTCTCACCCTCCCCCTTGTATCTCTCACCCTCCCCCTTGTATCTCTCACCCTCCCCCTTGTATCTCTCACCCTCCCCCTTGTATCTCTTACCCTCCTTCCCTCTCACCCCCCTTCCTCACACTCTCCTCCCTCCCGCACCCTATCTCAGGTGCAAGCCCCCCCCTTTGTGTTGGACGCAGAATGGCTGAGAGCGCAGCAGCCAGACGTGGTGGTGGTAGGTGGCAGCACTGCCTGCGTGCGCTGTGACCTGCACTGGCGGGATGGAAATGCAGCATCAGTTGCTGCTGGTGGTGGGGGCGGTGGCGGTGGCGGTGGCGGTGGTGCTGGTGCTGGTGCTGGTGCTGTTGCTGATGCTGGATCAACAGCAGGGTCAGCAGCAGCAGCAGCAGGGTCAGCAGCACCACGTGCAGCAGCAAGTGCTCCAGGAGTAGCAGCAGCATCAGGAGTGGCAGGGGGTTCAGGAGAGCGGAGGGGTCGTGATGGGGGTACCGTGGCTGCAGAGGTTCGGAGGAGCCTTGGTGAATCAGGCTCGGGAGGAAGCGGCTCAGCGATCGTTGTCCTCCGACCTTCCACAGTGAGTTCTCAGTTTTGCAACTCGTAGGATTGAGGATTTGTAGGATTGATTGAGGGTTCGTAGGATTGAGGATTTGTAGGATTGATTGAGGGTTCGTAGGATTGAGGGTTTGGGTTCTAAATATCATCCTGCACCTGTGGTGATTCTCGGGTTTGTGTTCTCAAGGTGCGTATTTTTGCCATCGGTAGTAAATCCTATCCTACTAGCTTTATGCTTCTGGAGGTGCAGATCTGGACGTACAATCTTCGCTGCAAGTGGGGATCGGACGGTTTACGTACAACCTTCCCATGCACGTGTTGGCGATCCGCTGTTTTCCTCTTGCCATTCCCCTATGCCTCAGTCGTCAGGAGTCTATTTTTGAGGCGCCTCAAAAATGACTTCTCAAAAACAGACTCAGCAAGCCACAGCCCTCTTGTCCCACCAGACACTCTTGCTCACACTAACCCCACCGTCCCATGCATTTCCCCCATGCCCTCATCCCCACCTTCCTTTCCCGTTCTACCAGCTCGCCCAGGTGCTTGAGTCTGACTGTGGGAGCAGCCATGGGTCTGCGCCAGCAACCCACAGCCCGTTCCTCCCTCATTCGTCCCTTCTCACACCAACCCTGCCACCCCACGCACTTGCCCCCTTCCCCCCCATCTGCCTCTCCCCCCGTCCAGCTCGCCCAGCTGCTTGAGTCAGTCGTGACGGTGGGAGCAGCCATGGGTCTGCGCCAGCAAGCCACGGCCCTCTCGTCCCACCTGCACCTGCGCCTTCGCTCCCTCGCTGCTGCAGTCGCCACCACTGCTCTCCCCACCCCCTCAAACCCCCCTCCCCCCCCCCCCCCCCCCCCCCCCCCCCCCCCCTTTGTCCCCCTTTTCCCCTTGTACCTCCCTCATACTTCCCCCAACCCATCATCCATTTACCTCTCCCTTTTCCCCTTCTCCCCATGCACATGCATCTCCCCCCCCCCCCAGCTCGCCCAGGTGCTTGAGTCGGTCGTGACGGTGGGAGCAGCCATGGGTATGCGACAGCAAGCTGCTGCCCTCTCGTCCCACCTGCACCTGCGCCTTCGCTCTGTCGCTGCTGCAGTCGCTACTGCCCCCCGCCCCCGGGTCACGTCCCTAGAGTCGATCTCGCCACTTGTCATGGCCGGGCATTGGCTGCCCGAGATGAAACTTTTGGCTGGGGCAGATGACGGCGGGTTGCAGGAGCCGGGCAGCCCGCTGAAGAAAGTGGTGTGGGAGAGCATCACGGCGTTTGGGCCTCAAGTGCTGTTTCTCACTCCCTGCGCTGCTGATGTCAACGAGGCTCTGGCTCAGGTACGGGCAAAACGGGAATGGCAGGGTGTGTACTAGAAGGGGGTGAGCCGGGGGAGGAAAGGTCGGGTGGGGGTGGTGTGTGTGTGGGAGAGCATCACGGCGTTTGGGCCTCGAGTGCTGCTTCTGACTCCTTGTGCTGCTGATGTCAACGAGGCTCTGGCTCAGGTGCAGGCAAAACGGGAGGGGCCTATTTTTTGTGCACCTCAAGAACAGGTACGGGCAGAACGGGAGGGGCAGCGTCTGTATTGGAAGGGGGTGGGTTGGGGGAGGAAAGGTTGGGTGGGGGTTGTGTGTGTGTTGGAGAGCATCAGTAATGCGTTTTGGCCTCGAGTGCTGTTTTGCTTATGAGCAACACAGCTCACGCTGTGCGCTGCTGAGTAAAAGCTTTTCTGGCTCAGGGAAGACTAGGATGGAGGAAGGGAGTCTACGTGTGTGTGGGTTTGTAGCCTGTGTATGATGTTAACTCGTGAATGGCGGTATTACATGCCACTCGTGAACTGTGGGTTTGTATTAAACTCTACTCTATACAAGACAATTTGCCGTGCACTATGACTACGTCACCTCTCCCATCTCTGCATGCTGCTGATGTGAGAACTGCTCTGGCTCAGGCAAGACTGGGATGGAGGAAGGGAATGCATGTGTGTATGGGTGAGGGTGAGTGTGTAGCCTCTGCATGATGCAAGTGCGTTAACAGCAGCATTCTATACAAGTTGAAGTCAAAACAAGATTAAAAGCCTGTGCACTACGATTGTATCACCTCTCCATCCCTACTTCGTCCTCTTCCTCTCCCACAAACGCCCCCCCACCCCACCCCCCCCCACCCCCCACCAACACCCCCCCCAAATCCTCCCCCCCCCCCCCCCTCCCCGGCCCCCGGGTCCTGTGCATTTCCCACAGGTCGAAGCCCTTGCTCGCCTGCCCGGCTTTTGGTCACTGCCCGCAACTGAATCCGGGCAGGTTTACATCATCGAGCCGTGTCTCTTCCTCAACGCAGGTCCACGATTGGTGGATGGTGTTGAATTGCTTGCACGAATTATTCATCCTGACCGAGTAGCAGTGCCCTTGCCGCCCGGATGTTTCGTCCTGAAGCTAGAGCTTAGTAGAGAGAAGCATTATAGAGCGGAGGACCTTCATAAACATTTTAGGCCCTTGCTCTAGGTCTAGATAGGCTCTGTAATAGGTACACTCTACACTGTGTATACACAAGCTATAACTGTCAACGTATATGTTTGTATAGGTTTATAGGCTAGCTATGAGCATACCATAGAGAGTACAACACTTGTATGCCCTGTATGCCCTATTCTAGCAAATTCGTTACCTTCAGATCGGTTCACGCTAGGCTAGGTCCTGCTCGCCCACCCGCACTTCCGCCTTAGCCCTAGTCCAAGCCCTAGTCTTAGCTCTAGTCCTAGCCCTAGTCCTAGCCTACAGGCCCAGCTCGTCGCCCCGCGCTCGTAGGCCCACCCTCGTCGCCCCGCGCTCGCTGGCCCGCCCTTGTAGCCCCGCGCTCGCTAGCCCACCCTCGTAGCCCCGCGCTCGCTGGCCCGCCCTCGTCACCCCGCGCTCGCTGGCCCGCCCTCGTAGCCCCGCGCTCGCTGGCCCGCCCTCGTCGCCCCGCGCTCGCTGGCCCAGCTCGTCGTCCCGTGCTCGCCGGCCCCGCGCTCGCTGGTCCACGCCCGCTGGCCCTGTGCTTGCTGGCCCACGCCCGCTGGCCCCGCGCTCGCTGGCCTACGCTCGCCGGCTCCGCGCTCGCTAGCCCCGCGCGGACCGGCCCCCTAGCTCGCTGGCCCCGCGCGGATCGCCGTGCCGCCCTATCGCCGTGCCGCTGTGCCGCCGTGTCGCCGGATCGCCATGCCGCTGTACCGCCATGCCGCCGTGCCGCTGTCAGCCGCTAAAGTCGTGGGATGGCGGACGCTGTGTTCAGCCTGGACGCGGAGGGTCAGGCGATCGACTTTGAGGCCAAGCTCGTCGACCTTCGCCGTCACCTGATAGGTCAGCGCCAGGACGCGTACTCTCTGGCTGTTCATGTCGACGGTCTGCTTCCCCGTCCCACCGTGCCTACTGCCCTCCCTGATGCCCCCACCCCTGCTGAGCGTGAGGCCTTTTCCGCTGCTGCGCTTGCTCGTGCTGTCTGGGAGTCGTGCGACAACGTAGCGCAGCTTGCTACTAGTCATGCTCTCCACCTGTCTGAGCGTCCTCGCTTGTAGCAAACGCCTAGGAATTCTTAGATGCAGTCATTGCACGCTATTCTACGCCCGCCACAGCCTCTGCTGGTCGCCTGATCCTCCCCATGCTGTTCCCTGATCTTGCGTCCTTCCCCACTGTCGCTGACCTTGCCACTCACCTCCGCGCCCTTGAAACTAACTACCGCGCCGCTAGCACTAAGGCCCAGCTCACTGCATTCCCCCCGCCGCTTTGCCTTACCCTGTACCTCATTGCCACATGCCTCGCGGACCGCCTTGCCACTGCCCGCGACCACTTCCTTAGTCAACACCCAGTTGACCTCACCCTTACCGCCATTGTCACCGCTCTAACCGAGATAGAGACCCGCCAGCGCACTATCACTCAGTCTAGCGGTACTGCGGCGGTTCCTCTCTTTCAGGGTTGTGCTCCCTCCCAGTGCACTCACTCTGACGTTTCTGCCACTGTCACTAAGACAGCCCTTGCCGCTAAGACCGCCGTTGCAGCCTCAGCGCAGCCGCATCAGGGTAGGGATCGCCGCCCCAAGGGGGGGCGTGGCAGAGGGAAGGGTGGTGGGGGTGGTGGAGGTGGGGGCGGGGACGGTGGTTCAGACGAGGGAACCGGGGCTGGTGCCTTGGAGCAGCAGCAGCAGAAGCCTCAGCAACAGCAGTAGCAGTAGCCGTAGTCGCATCAGTAGTTGCAGCAACAAGCGCAGGAGTGGGGCCGCCTCCCGTCGGGGTGACGCGGTGCCTCTAGTGGTGGTGGCCGCGGTGTTGGCCCTCGCAGCTCCGCGTCGGGTGGTAGCTTCGGCTCTGTAGGTTGCCAGTACCAGCTCCAAACCGGCCCCCTTTGCAACACTATGTATGGCCGTCCCAGCCACACTGCCGCCCGTTGCTTCCGCCGCCTCAATGACCTCTTCCGTCTCTGCTTCAGCCCTGCGCCGGACCTCCCTGAATGGCCCAGTCTGGTACGCCGTCGTGTTTCGGTCTTTGAGATGGATATGGATCAGATTTGCTCCGCCTTGCATGCCATGTATGATGAAGACTCTAGTGTACCTGGATCTTATTACCCTATGTTGCCTAGTGTAGGTGTGCCTATTGAGTGTAATGTAGGCTCCTCTGCTGCGTTAGGCGTAGGACCGTCTGCCTTGATTAGCCTAGGCTCTACGCTAGCCCCTCTGCCGGCTGCCGCCACTGCTTCGCTCTCTTTCGAGCTCGACTCTGATGTGTTTCCCTGCTTCTTCCGCGACCACATTGCACTCACGCCGCTTGTCGCCCCTGCCGCAGTTGTGATTGCTGACCCCTCTTTAGGTACAGTAGTTGCCGCTACACTACCCTTCCCTGTCCAACGGTTCCCTTGGGCTCTCTTATTAGCCTGCACATCCCCTTGTTCTCCAGGAACCTAGTTGGTGTCGGCTATCTTCAGGACCGCGTCACCACTACGTTCCCCGAACATGAGCGGTACGCGGTCTGTACCGAGGCCGCCACACGTGCTCCCCTCACCACGTTCCCCCGAGACCCTGTGTCTGGCCTGTTTACGCTTCACACTGCGTCCCCCTTGGTGAGGGCACCTCCCCAGGTGACTGCGTCTACCCAAGTCGCTGCGGCTTGCTCCTGTCGGTCGCTCACTCACCCGTCGCTTCTGTGGCACCATCGCCTAGGTCACCCCGCCCTCCCACGCCTGCGTCACATGTCCCAGCACGGTCTTATCCTAGGTCTCCCTACGTCGCTCCCTGCCCTCCCTCCCTCGCCTGCGCCGCCATGCATGCCCTGCATCGAGGGCCGGCTGTGCCGTGCTCCTCACTCCTCCTCGCTTTGCCTTACTACTGTGCCACTCCTGACCCTGCACCTGGACATCTGGGGCCCAACCCCCGTCCCCAGGAGTTGTCGAGAGCGCTACTTTCTATTGCTTGTTGACGACTACACGTGCTACAACACGGTGTTTCCCCTGGAGCGTAAGGCCGACATGCCCGACGTTCTTATCCCGTGGGTCGTAGCTGCGCGAGTCCACCACGGCCTCACCGTGTTGTGTCTCCAGTCTGACCATGGTGGCGAGTTTGCCCTTCGGCTTGGCCAATTCTGTCGTGCGGAGGGCATCAACCAATCGTACACCCTGCTGGACAACCCGCAGCGGAATGGGGTCGCTGAGGGACGCATTGGTTTGGTCATGGAGGTGGCTCGTACATCTATGATCCATGCCGGTGCACCCCATTTTCTGTAGCCGTTCGGTGTTCGCTACGCCGTTCACCAGCCTAACCTGTGGCCGCACTCCCAGCGGCCTCAGGTTTCACCGACCCTTCTCTGGACCGGGTTCCCTGGTGACGCGTCTGCGTTCCACGTCTGGGGCTGCCTTGCTCACGTTCATGCCTCTGGCACGGACAAGCTCACTGCCCGCATTGTCCCCTGTGTCTTCCTTGGCTTCCCCCTCGACGCGTCTAACTGGCACTTTTACTACCCGCCGTCTCACCGCTTCTTTCACTCGCGTGACGTCACTTTTGACGAGTCTGTCTCCTTCTACCACCGCTTTCCCCACCGAGGTCTCTTGGTTTCCTTGCCCCTCTTTCTGGTCCCCACTCCCTGGTAGCCCCTGCTCCTCTCCCTCCCTGTCCTGCGCTGTCTGGTGTGTCTCATGTCACTCCCCTCCCGTCGGTTGTCCCGGTCAAGGAGTCGGCGGACTCTGGTGGCACCGTGGCACCGTTCTCACCGCCTGTCTCTGCCCCGGTGTCTCCTCTTCCGCGATCACTGCAGCAGCAGCCGGCGCCGCCGTCGCAGCCGCAGCCGCAGTCGCCGGCGCCACAGCACAAGCCGTCGCAGGGGTCCGCGAGCTCTAGAAGTGCGGGCGTTGAGCAGGGTGCTAGTCCTGGGGTTACTGTCGTGGCTTGTCCCGGCAGTCCTGGGGGTGACACCTGTGCTGGGGAGGGTTCTCGTTCAGGGGGTGCTCGTCCTGGGGCTACTTATGTGGCCTGTCCAGGCGGTCCAGGGGGTGGCACCTATGCTGGAGAGGGTTCTCGTTCTGGGGGTGTTGGCGTGGAGCGTCCCGAAGGTAGCCGTGGTGCAGCTGGAGGTTATGGTGTCAACGTGGAGCAGCAGCAGCAGCAGTCGCCGCCGGTGTCCACCCTTCGCCCCCTCAGTCTTCCTTCCCCTGACCGCCCACCTGCGCCTCCTCCGCCGCCGCCTCGCGTGCCTGTCTACGGCCCTGTGTTTCCTCCGCCGGACTCGTCTTCGGCTCGTTTACCCCCTAGATCTCCTCCTGTGTCTCCTCCTCTGTCTCCTGACCCGATGCCTCCCTCCCACATCTGGTTTCGTCGTCCCTCTCGTGCTCGTCTTGTCTCTCCTGTTTAGCATTCTCACCCTATGTTGCTTCATTCCCACGTGTCTCGTCCTCCCCTCCTCCCTTCGCCTCCTGCGTCATCGCTTGTTCTCGCTCCGCCTCCTATGTCTGACTTCCTCCGTGCTGCTAGCCCTCTTGTTCCTCGGGTCTTCCTTCGTCCGTCGGGGGTGCTGCTGCCCTTGGCAGTGACGTCCTAGAGGACCGGCAGTACGAGCTTGCTTTCCTGTCCGAGGCCGCACCTCATCTCTGCTCCATGCTGCTAGTCCCTGAGGGTGACCAAGACGCCTTCGACATCCCGAACCCTTGCACATACGCGGAGGCGACCTCGAGACTCCGGGCTCCCAGTGGATAGCTGCCATGGACGCAAAGATGGCATCTTGGAGATCCACCGGCACGTACGTCGACGCATTTCCCCCACTTGTGTACGAAGACGATGGCAGATGGCTCTTCAAGGTGAAGCGCCCACCTAGAGAGCCGCCAGTGTTCAAGGCGCGCTACGTCGTGCGCTACTTGGAGAGGCTCCAGTCAGCGTAAGGGTGTTGACTTCTTCCAGACCTTTGCCCCAACCCAAAGATGACTACTCTTCGGGCGCTGCTATACGTAGCAGCACAGCGTGACTACGAGCTGCACTCTCTTGACTTCTCGACAGGGTTTCCTCAGGGCAGTCTGCACGAGCAGGTCTACCTTCGCCGCCCGCCAAGCTTCACCGGCACCTTCGCCCTGGGGGCCAGGTGGCTCCTCCGTGGCCTGGTTTACGACCTGCGGCAGGCGCCACGCGAGTGGCACGACACGC